CAATGCGATCGTTTGTGTCTACGGCGCGCGGCGCCTGGTTTGAAAGTTAGAGTTAAACTAAAATGATTTTATACAGAAACTCGCATTTATGATACCGTCACGATTAATCCTGATTTAGCACTAACTAGATTTACCCCAATAAGTCGTTATAAATATTAAAGAATCAAATGGGGATTAAATCCGTTCCAAAACTACATCGACTCGATCCCTTTGAGTAACTTTCGACGTCCCAAAGCGCGGCCAAAATGCTAAACAGCCGCCCCTATCAATGCCGTTACATCTTCTAGGCCTAAAGAGCCGTGACGCCACTATTTTATTAATCAATATGGGCCTCGTTTCGCACACAGAGAGATATTTATGCTGTTGCAGGAAGAGGCAGGAATTGTCGGAGAAGGGACTGACGTAAAGGTAAAGGGCCTCCGGCAGAGATATGTTCGCGTGGAAGGCAGATAAGACATGCAGAAAAAGACGGGGATAAATAATAATGATCTGTATAATTTTGGTTGAATTGTATTCTGTTTGTGGATTAAATAGGGGTGATACGAGTATTATTTTATTTAGTTATATTTCTATTGATTAAAAATATTTTCAATATGGCGGCACTTCTGGAAATACCGAAAGTTTACAGCAAATTTCTGATTTTAAAGAAGTACCACCATTTTTTATCACATATTTAAATTCTCTATAATTTTTATATCAAACACTCTATACCTAACATTAACAATTTTTATTGGTAGAAAAACGGGATACAAAACAATGATTCCACTCAGTGGATACGTTTTTTTTTGTAAAATAACGCTTCAAACGTTTTCTAAAACAGTTTTGCATATTATCTCGGAACAACGGTCTTGGGATAAGGTTTTGCAACTTGATGCCTCAATTGTTGTCCAGAAGTTTGTAACGTTTTTAGTTCGTTACATGTCTTTTTTATATATAATATATGATGTCTGGCCTATCATCACCGGATTCCCTCTCGTTCAGACCGGATAGTTTATTTGACGCGTAATTTTTACGTTCCCTAGTCACCAACCCTGTTATCGTTCGACACAACCCCGTTATCGCTCTGAGGAGGCGCTGTCAACATCGCTTCTGTCAACTCTCTCCGTGCTTAACCTCACTTTGTTTTGACGCTCTGTTGTATCCCAGCTTTTGGAAATGGTGATTATTTAAGTTTTGCTGTATAATTTGAATCAGCTGCTATTTCGAGGCTACAGGTAAAGATGAGTTATTACCTTTTATAGATTCGATATTATTATTGAATATTTTTAGGGTAGAGTTACGGATGTCCCAACTTGTATTTGTGTTTTGCTGGTACGTTGGCGTCCCTTTTCTTTTGTCCTCCAGAATGTCACATGGAAGAAAGGACATGTTGTTTATTATTTATTGAGCCCTTGGAAGTATTTCGAGGTAGGTTTATTTTGTTTATTAGACCTTGTTTGGTTTTAAACAAGAATTTCATATTTTTAGGGTCCAAGGTACGGACTGTGTCCAAGGTACGGGTAGTGTCTTATGTACGGACATTATCTTATGTACGGATGTCCTGTGGACGAGTGTCCCCAGTAAGAATGATTTTTTCTTACATATAAGTGCCACAGCGTAGATGTAGCTTGAGTCCCATGCTGCTTCGTTCCCAGCTATAAGCTAGTTAGTTACGGCTGTATCAATTTATGGTGTATCATTCTGGCCCCTTTTACCAAAGGGGCCAGAATGATACACCATAAATTACACCACTACTGATACAATGATACACCATAAAATACACCACTACCGTGTTGGATGGCTGAGTACAGAGATGCGAGACCACCTCACGCTGTTACTGTATAAAGCAAGATTACATAAAGAACAGCTAAGTGTAGATTTAAGTTATAGTTTTGCATTTAACATTTAAAACATTTACAGTCTTAAACAATAACGTACATCTTAAATAATATCGTATAGACTATGTTGAGTGGTTAGATTGTTAAGAATATTCATGTCGATTTAGTAGTTAAAATATAATTTAGATCTTAGGTTTCATTGCATTATGTCTTGTAATAGTATTACTTTTTTATAGATATTATTATTGCACTCTAACATCATATAAAATATATCAAATTAATTAAAGTAATACTACATTTCATACAGTCTCTTAAACTTTACATGTCTTGTATTTTATCATAGTCGTTTTCATAGATATTTAGTACAACTCTTACCACCACTTTCTTTGACATATAACCACTATATATATTTACTAGAACTCTACAATGTCATGTACCAGCAAAGAACATCCATCATGAGTAAATATAGTCATTAGTTTTAGGTAACATACAACTGTGTTTTCTTTCTCTGTACATGCCTGGCGCCCAATATCTATTTTTTATTTATTGTTCTTAATTAGTTTTCTTTCCAGTGAAATACCTTATCCACGACTGCTCTCCGATGAAAAGCTGCCGTTCGCAGTGGTAGTTGTTTAAAAAACGCTACAAGTTATATTTACTCAATTTTCACACGTTGGTGATTAGCTTAACTATCTTTAAGAAATTCAATTTTAACTTGTTCAAAAAAATGCAATCTAAAATTCAAAATACTTATCATCCTATGCCGAAACTGTTGTGAAACTACAGAACAGATGCTTCCTCTCACCAGGCTTAAAATCCCCAAAAAATAAACTAATCGTTTTATGTTAATTTTAATAGTCTATTACCATTTTCTTGCCTCGGGCGGCTAGGCCATGAATAAAATGAGGAAATCGCCTGTCAAAGCCGACTCGATTTGTTTTGCGGCCGACGCGCGTCGTCTAGTTGTTTTTTGTTCGGAGGCCTATTTATATTAATTAGACAGTGACGATATCACTGTGCATCGTTTAACCATTAATAAAAGAAGAAAAGCAGGGGTGGAGATAATAGAAAAAAAGAGGGAAATAACGAGCTATTTTGGTCCTTTTTGGTATTTTATTGTTTTAGTATAAAATGCTTGTCAGGACCCAATAAATTATGAAGATAAATAATAAGATCTGATTTTTAGTTTAAGATTTATTTAGGCATATAAGACCGTAAAAAATAGAGTTGATACGACAAACTACTTTTATATAATAAATCTTGGGAAAAAAATGTAGATGTAATTTATAAAACTACGGCCGACTCGTTTGCAGTAAAATATTGCAAATCACTGTTAATTAAATCCTGGCGTACTTTAGTCGCTATAACGGCATGCCTTCGTGCTATGCAGTAACTCCGCACAATTTTGTTTCAATTTATAGTGGCTAAACATGCCAATATTTTAAAATTACGTATAGCATACGGAGGAAAAGCAGCAGAGCTCAATACACCACTACAGCATAGCAAATATATTCAAACAATTTTCAGTAAATAGTTTTGTGGTGACTACAATTTGCCCATAAAAATATAATAGATTGAGTTATCTGTACTTATTTTAAGATTTTTTGTTATTGTATGCTTTAACTTTCTTGACTCCTTTAAAGAAAATCTGTCAAATATCTACAATTAAAAATGACACCCGATTTGTCTGAATTAGATCCGCATTAATTTCCTTTCGTATATCATTAGGTTAAAACGGTCTGTTGACATTTCTAAATAGACCCACCTCAAACCAAAAACCTCAGCTTATACGCCAAGATTATTGCTAAACCCCTCGGATATCATTAGGTATGAAAAGTCCTCGAGGCATTCTCTATCCAGTAGATATAGAGTATCTAAGCCTCTTAATTGGAATAAATTATATCGTAAAAGGGTTAAAATAATATAATCGATTACTTTTGAAACATTTATTTAAACCCTATGATTAACTTTACATATAAATTACTTTTAGTTTGTTTAAAGTAAGTTATAACGTGATTGTAGTGTATTTCAAATAAATACAAGCAGCCTAGATTATTAAATTTTATTTATATCTCATTTCTAATTATTTTAATATTTTTGGGTTATTTCTGTCACCACAATCGTCTAAAATATACATATAGGACATTTTATTACTGATAATGTTGATATATTTACTTCAAAATAAATAATCTAATAAATAAACATAATTTTAAGTATATACAGGGTGTTTCATAAAACATGTGCCATCTCTCGCGGGGAGATTCACTTAAAAATAAGATTTATTTTTTATATCAACATAGGTCCAATTCCGCTTTGTTTCGTCGCTACAGGGTGTTAGAGTTTTAATATTTTTTCGATTTATTATAATTTTCTAATTATTAATTAAGTACTTTTTGCGTGTCGAATGAAATTTTGAAGGTAAAAGTTACTATAAATGCGACACGTTTAGAGCTAAAAAAGTGTCGACATATTCCCCAGGGACGTGCATATGGATTATCACTGGAATATTTTTCTAACCAAAGCATGTACGCCACTGACTTTTTTTCTATAGTTACCGAAATAGTGTAAGCAGTTTAATGCCTTTTAAAAGTTGTCTCTTGATATTTTGTCGATTTCGGCCTCCTTGATGAGATAAACGTAATTTTATTAATTTGAAATGCATAGTTTTAGAGTTACAAGATATTTTTTTCTTAAATTAGTTTTTTTGTAATTAAATAAAATTCTTTTTTTATTTTACATTGCTGTAGGTTGGACCTAATAGTAATAATAACATAATAATATTTAATAATAAATTAAGTAAAATATACAATTTATTAATTTTATTTTAATTTTATTAATTGTGATGATAAAATTGCGTTTATCTCATCAAGGAGGCCGAATCCAACAAAATGTAAAGAGATAACTTTTAATTCGCATTAAACGGCCTACCCAAGTTTGATATCAAAAGAAAAAAATCAGTGGCGCACATATTTTTTTTAAATATTCCAGTGATAACCCACATGCACGTCCCTGATGAATTTATTGACACTTTTTTAGCATTAAAATAATGTAACACTTATAGTATTTTTTACACTCAAAATTTCATTCGAATCACTAAAAGTACTTAAATAATAATAAATCGATATATTATTAAGATTTTAACACCCTGTAGCTACGAAACAAAGCAGAATCGGACCTATGTTTATATGAAAAATAAATCTTATTTTTACCTAAGAAATCTCCCCACAAGAGATGGCACATGTTTTTTGAAACATCTTGTATAAGTTTGTTCTTAGCATACTCCATTGCTATGAACTCGCTGGAGAAGATATTCCATTTCTAGCAGTTGATTTTGCCTAATCACAGTAAATATAACTTCTCGAGTCTTGGGAAATAATTTATATAGACGCTCGTGGTTTAAGATCGATTAGACATGCTCAATATACCCCGATTTCAGTCTCTACGATCCATTCTAATTTGTATTAAGATAACATGAAGTAATATTCACAAAATTTAATAAAAATAACAGAAAAATCAGTTTCAATATCTTTCTTTTTGGGTGTATTTTGGCAGGCATGCAGCAAACGTGACTTTAACATCTGCAGATTTGTTCACCATCTTATTTTGCTGATTTCCATTATTCTCGTTTTGTCTATAGTCCATAAAACCTTGACCAGTCTCGTAATCCTCAAATTCGGCATTCGAGCAGCAACAGCAGCAAATTTTACACATAAAATCATTAATTTTTCTGAAAATATATATAGTTTGGCCCAAGTAAGTGTACAGAAAAGGGTTTAAAACACAGTTGAACAAATTCAAAGCTATAAACGAAAACCTCAAGTTCCATGCTATGCTGGCAGGTACTTCTTTTAACAAATTATAAAGCATAAACAGCCAGTGAGGCATTCTGCAGCCAATAAAAGCAAAAATAAGGACAACGACTATTTTGAACGTTCTCATTTTTCTTTCCATCTGAAGATTGCGTTTCTTCATGATGGATTTGATTCTAGGAACAGGAGATCTAACGGACGTAGTAGAGATATCAGTGACTTCTTGACATCTTTCGTTTGTTACTGGTTTTCTGTGACGCCAAATAAGTAAAGCAATTTTATAGTAGAACCAGAAAAACATAGAGATGACCGGAAAGAAGAACAATACGTTTATTGAGCTGTAGTAAGACAAAATTTCGGATTTGGTATTTGACGTTCCTGAACATAAGAACACATTTTCGTTGTTTACTACCAGAGGTATATAAAAGTAAAATGTCGACATGGGGTATGACATTCCTGAAATAATTTTTATGTTAGTAATATAAAAATTTATTATATTTTAGTTCTAAAATTACCTGCACAAACGAGCCATAAGGCTAACGCTCCAAGGAGGCAGTATAGTAGACCTGGATCCCATTTTTTACTAAAAGCATGGATTACGTTATGGTATCTATCCAGAGCTATCACGAAAAGTGCCAAGGAACTAGCAAAATTACCCAACACTTGTCCTACTGGTAAGTAATAACATAGAAACTCACCAAAAGGCTAAAAAAATAAAATAAATACTCCATTTAAAATATTTGATACTTTAGGAGAAAAAAATAACAATTATTATTAAACGGTAACTACCTAATCCAACGACATTACTTTTCTTTTAACAAAAAACAAAAAATCTTACTAAACTAATTTCTACATTGTTGTTTCGAGCTCGATCAAACAGTCACTGTTTGATCGATCACTGTTTGATCATACATTGTATGATCGAACTCGAAACAACAATGTAGAAATTAGTTTAGTAAATTTTAAAAGATTTTTTGTTTTTTGTTTAAAGAAAAGTAATGTCGTTGGATATGTATTTTAAAATTTCATAAAGGAAAAGTCCTTGTATTCCAATGTTATATGATGCTAGTTTTAAGGCCTTTTTGTGCAGAAGATATTTTTTTTTGCTAATTAACTCAGTCAAACTGTCCTGCTGATGAAAATCAAATTCTGGAAAGCTTGACAAATTTGAAAAAGTAGTTTTATTAGCCTGTGTGGTGATTATTGACTGCATCCTCAATTAAATTTTGAGTTTTTTTATGTAAATGAAAGATATGTAAATATACTATTCAACCAAAAAGTTACTTTCATAGATAAATCAGCATCAGCATCAAAGTTATAATTATCAAAAATTATAAATTAAATTTTGAAATTTCAAGTTTAACTGTTTTATATTTATGGTATTGATAACCTCTAAGTTATTATTATTATTTGCTTACCCATGTCATCAAAGGTTTAGAAAGAAGATCCAAGTTACTAGTAGCAAAGAGTACCACAGTCAGAAGATCGGATAAAGCCAGTGATATTATGCAAGTCTTTTGTAAATATTTATATTTCCTAAAAAACAAAGCCAAAAATTGTTTAATGTTAAATGTTTGGCAAATAAATTACCAAGAAATCAATTTAATGGTATAAAATTTTGATTGAAAATATGAATACAAGTATATTATTATGAAAGGTTTTCTAAAACATCTATTTATAAATACAAAATATTATACAGGGTGGTCCGAACTGTATTCAGGAAACTTCGGTAGCATATTCTGTAGATAAAAACAAGTAAAAAAGTTCTTATAAATATATGTCCTAAAATGCTTAGTTTCGGAGACACAGGGTGTAGAAGTTTCATTTTTATTTCGATTTTTTCTAAATAATTTCTGAAGTAACGTCAATATTTCCACCAAAGGTGTCTGGGAGTTTTTTGACATGAGAAATTTGATTTTCATGTTATTATGACTTCTACTTGTATAGGGCGCCACCTACATGTGCTTTAATTGATTTGAAGAGTAATAACTTTTTGTCCGTAAATGTATAGAACTACTGAGTGAAAAAAAAATACATTTTCGTAATTTTTTACGTAAAAAATGTCTCTAGATATTTAGTATGGAAATAGTCAATACATGTCATTATTGACAAAAAATAAACATGTTGAGTAGACAGTTATTTAACTAAAATGATAAATTTTGAAAATTTTTATTTTTTTAAATTAATCATAAAATTTTCTTCGAAAAAATGATGATTGATGCTGATTTGGCACAAAAACATTTCAAATTTATGATTTCAATCTATTAACTATTTAGTCAACTTATTTAATTTATGTCAGTGATGACAGGTATTGATAATTTCGATTTCAAATATCTCGAGAACTATTACTCATAGCGATTATTATTAAGAGACCTTTTTTACATTAAAACCGTCGTAAATGTATATTTTTTTACTTAGTAGTTTAATACAGGTACGGACGAAAAGTTATTACTGTGCAAACCAGTTAAAAATATAAAGGTGGCGCCATGTACAAGTAGGAGTCATATTGACATCAAAATCAAATTTCTCATATCAAAACTCCCAGATACCAAATTTCAGTCAAAAATTCATGTTACTTCAGAAATGATTTTGAAAAAAATCGAAATAAAAATGAAACTTCTACACCCTGTATCTCCGAAACTAAGCATTTTAGAACATACATTTATAAAATGTTTTTTACTTATTTTTATCTGCAGAATTTGCTGCAGAAGTTTCAGGAATACACTTCGGACCACCCGGTATATTTGGCATTTAAAAAAATAAATTGTTAAATAACGTGCTCTCTAACCGAATTTTGAACAAAAATATACTTCAGAATGTTAATTATATTTTATTTTAACGTTGGTTTACTTATTTGCATCATATGGCTGATTTTTTCAACGTTTTTGACCATTAGCTTATTCTCGTAGTAGCAAATTATGAATAAGTCTTTCATTTATAAGGCTGATCTCATTCCTGTTTTTTTTTCTCTATAATACTCAACTAAAGTTTAGATTTTTTTAATTTGGCTTGCTATAATAATAATATTTTTATAATACTTTCTTTTTTACATTATTTTTTTTTGTTTTTATACATCACGCGTCAATTCTTTATATTTAATAGTAAATAAATAATGCAATTACATTAATATTGGTAGATAATACTAATAATAATGTAATACTCTCACCTACAGATTACTGTCCTAATGACTATCAAGTTTCCAAAAACTGCAATTATAGATATTATCAATATAATCCAATAGTGTAAGGTTTTGTTTATTGTTATTACTTTTAGTATATAATCTGGTACCACCGTTCCATTATATCCATCAACCTAAATCAAAAATTATAAGAATATAATTAATTTCAAAAATAACACTGCGATAATTACCCAAACATTTATATACATATGTACATAGTGGATTTAAACTTTGATTACAATATAAAAAATACAATTTTCTATACATACAACAAATAATTAAGATAATTAAAAAAACTCTTTTAATATAATATGGTAGATAGAGTACGTAAAATATTAAAATTGGATTATCGCCATGTACTCCCAAAAGCATACACCAAAAATAAATTCAAATATTTCAGACTGTTAAATGCATTTGAAATCGTTAAATGAATATATGTTTTAAAATGATTTGAGTTACATCCAAAACCTTTGTGGACCAAAGCTTCATGTATTATTTAATTATGATAATATAAATATTCAATTCACAATAAATAAATAATGTTTGTGTATAATTTTAACCATGTCTAGATTATTGTTTATTTATAATAATTTTTATATGCAATATCTTCCATCGGTTGTTTTTTTAGGATGTACACAGTAATTTAAAAATGTGCTTTAAAATTAAAAAAATTACAAAGTTGGTGTATGATATCCAAAAGCATCTGGTCTATGTATTTATTTTTTGTGTCTTAGATTAGACTCTTTAAATAATAGCAAATATGATACTACGAAAACTATTTCTCCCTCGAATAAATTATAATAAAATAAGACATATATTTCATACTCTAGGTATTTTACCTTTGAACTGCCAGTTCCCATAGTTTCACGATCATTGGAAACACTAATCACTAATCAGTCAAAGCACAGTACAAACTGATTAATTATTAATAGCGCAAAAAAACAGAAGTTACAGAAAATCTATCGAGATACGTATGCGATATGTACAAATTTGCATGGTGCTTATTGGGCGTATCAGCTAACGATATTAAACATTCGTTTGCTTTACCAGATTTCCCTTTGTCACAATCCATTCCTATGAAAATATATACAGTATGTCCATTCAATATTTAAGCAACCTTCAGAACGTCAGTATTTAAATATACCAATGTGTATTTGTAAAAGGACTGGACCAGCAAAAGATTGAAAATAGATGGAGAATATCTGAACCATCTAAGATTCGCTGATGACATAGTCCTAATTGCCAATAGCCCTGAAGAAGTACAAGCTTAAATTAATGAACTAAATATAGCCAGCAATGGAGTGGATCTCAAAATGAATTTAGCAAAAACTAAAGAAATGTACAACGAACTAGTGGAAAGAAAAGACATTCTAATAAATAGCACAACAGTGGAAATAGTAGAAAAATATATACACAACGAAACTTATATGGAATCATCTATTATTTTTCATAATTTTTGAGGCGTATGAAAATTTTGTGTTTATGAATAAAACTTAGTCCTTACCAATGACTTTTAACAAAAAATATTCCATATAGCAATATAAAAAATCAGTTCCAAAATAAACAATATGATATTTTTCGGTTTCTGAAACAAAATTGAGATTTAAATTTTTAATGCCCAAACAGCACGAACAAAAAGAAAATTGATAATTTTAATATTACTTGTTGCCACCTCTAGCCCCTATGCAAGCTTCTATTCGCGCTGGCATGCTTATTAAATTATCAACGTTGTCTTGGGGTATGTTTTCCCATTCTGCTAATGCTGCATCAGTAAGCTGTGCAAGATTTCCTGGATTGTTTCGACGAGCTCTAACCCTTCTTTTGAGCTAGTCCCACAAGTGTTCGATAGGATTTAGATCTGGTGAACATGCAGGTCAGTCCAAAACTATGACACTTTCCGTTTCAAGACATTCTCTAGTCACTCTGCTGGTATGGGGAGGTGCACTATCGTACAAGAAGTTAAAATTATAACCAATTGCAGCTCTCCAAAGACTAACGATTGGGTCTAGCACCAAGTCAACCATATCTCCGACCCGTTAAAGTTTGTTGAAGTGGTAACAATGGAGTTTTTTCTCCCAGTATAATACCTCCCCAGAACACTATAGTTCCTCCTTTATATCTTGGTACAGATTTTGCAGCCTGAAGTAGCGCTCGTCTTTCTGGTCTCATCCGAAAAAAAGAATATTTTGCCAATTCTCAGTTGTCCAATTTTGATGTTGAAGGCATCAATTTAGCCGGTCAATTTTATTTTGCCGAGATAACTGTGGGATCCGTAACTCTCTCCTACTGTAAAATCCTCGAGCACAAAGCCTTTTTGTTATGGTTTCAACTAAAACGTTCACACCTGTAGCTGTCAGAAGTTGTCTTTGTAGCTCTGGATGAGAAACATTGAGATTTATTCTAGCACTTTGACCCGCAAGGCGGTCTTGTTGTTCAGTTGTGACTCTTTGACGACTTTGTCTGGGCCTATCCTTGTGTGTTCCTAATTCCAAGTACCTTGCATATGTTTTCGATACAACACCCTGGGTAACGCCTACTATCTCTGATACGTCTGTTTGGAGCATTCCTTGTTCAGTGAGAGAAATAATATTTCCCCTCTGTACACCTGTTAATCCAACATAAAGCATTTTTTTATTTTTTGGATCGAATGAAAATTACCGGACAATCGTGATTTTACTACTGAACATAAAATTCAAAAGAAAATAAATTGCAGCAGTCGTTTATTCTTTATTATCATGTTTATTTACAACAAAAAGCCTTATCTTAAAGTCGTATACCAATTTTTATCCTTGCAAGAAATTTAGTCAGAAATAAAGAGTGATTCCATATAGGTTTGGTTGTATGTATATATTTGGGACAACTAATACACACCTCAGGATCAACCAGAGTACTACCAGAAATCAACAGCAGAATTAAGTTAGCATGGAGTACTTGTGGAAGAAACTCTTCTTCTTCTTTCTCAGCCTGGTTCCATCCAGTGTTGGATATAGGCCTCTTCTAGGTTTTTCCATGCTTCACGATGTCTAGCCAATCTTATCCATTGTCTTCCCGCCACTGCCCTGACGTCATCGACCCATCTCTTTTTTGGTCGGCCCACACTTCTTGTTGTTCCCCTAGGTCTCCATAGGACGACTTTTTGGGGCCATCGGTCTGGATCCTGTCTTGCCACCTATCCATTGCCACTTTAGACTTGCCACTCTTTTAACGACATCTATTAACTTTGTTTTTTGACGTATGTGCGTATTTTTTCCCTAATGGTGACTCCCAACATGATTCTTTCCATGGCTCTTTGTGCTACTCGTAGTTGTTCTGCTGTTTTTCGAGTAATTGCCATAATCTCTAAGCCATATGTAAGCACCGGTAGAATGCAGCTGTCGTAAGCCTTTTTCTTTAGGTTGATAGGCACCTTTCTATCCTTGAAAACATCGCTCATATTTCCAAATGCTACTCATGCCAAATGGATCCTGGAAGAAACTCAATAATATTCAAATCTAGAATGCCATTCTATCTAAAGAAGAAAACATTCAACCAATGTGTACTACCAGTTATAACATATGCATGTCCATCATAGGGAAACTGGAGGTCACACAACGTTCAATGGAACGAAATATGCTGGGAATAACCAAGAGAGACCGTAAAAGAATAGAGTGGATGTGGATATGACAAAAGACCCACGTAATAGATGTCATCCATAGAGTCAAATCCCTCAAAAGGCAATGGACAGGACACCTGGCATAGATACCTGGCACAAGAATAACAGCATGGTACCCACGAGGAATTAAAAAATCCAAAAGAAGACTAATTAGTGTTAATTTTTGACAAGTTTTGTGTCAATTTTTAGTAAATGACGCCTAGGGCCTGACCTCGCCAAAATAATCATAGATTGTCATTCCCCAGCCGCCTTTGACGCCGTTTTTTTTTCGATCATACGGTTGTTATTGTTTTACAACAATATTCCATTACATCGTTTATTTGCATATATGTTGGAAATTGTTATAGGTATATCCCTTTACCAAATATTGATATATCAATTATCTATTTATTAATTATTCGTTAATAACGTAATCATTCGTAACGATAACAATAAAAGTCATTATTCTGTGCCAGCATATGTTTAAACAGAGATAAAAAAAGATTAAAAATCTTATGATACTTTTTTGATTTGGCAAAAAACCTAATATATCATATTAATGTCATGCTGTATATAACCTTCTTGAGTGTCCTATTACAGCGTAGACCATAGATATGTATAAAGTATACAGGGTCGGCAAGATCTGGTTTTAGGTGCCGATTCTCCTGTGTTCGAAAATTACAATCAATACGCTCAATATAATACGATTAGGGAACGCAATCCCGCACCAAAATATCAATCCCGCAAACCCGCGGGATTAAAGCAATCTATCCCGCGCATCCGCAAAATTGCGGGATTGTAAACAATAGTCATACATTTGGTCTTAAATGGTACAAAAGGCAATGTACATTTTGCATAGGCCCACAATATATTGATATAGCGTGTATCTTAAACTAGCTGTACAGAAATTTGGACACCGATGTATACAGGGTGTTCAAAAAATATATTTAATATTAAATAAACTTAAATATTATTATAATTTATCTACTTATTTTATAAATAAAAATATTATTCTGATTGAAGTTTTTTTAACTTGTGTTAGTTATCTGCTTTTAGATACACTCTATATCAAAATTTTTTGGCATATGAGGAATGTACAAAGCTTTTTGTACCATTTAGGGCCATACGTATGACTAAAAATGCATATTTTTCGAAAAAACGTTGTATTTCGTTAAAACAAAAAAAAATAAAAAACCGATCAAATTGTTTTTTTCTAATTTCAATACAGATTCGTCGTACTTGGTAAAAATTTCGATTTTTTAAAAATTGTAAATTTACGGTAAAAAAGATTTTTGATCAAATTTTCACATTCTTATAAAACACCCTGTATACGAGAATTCGCTAAATATATTTTCGAAAACCACATCAGCATCTAAATCACAATAGATTCATCTAAAACCTGGTCCAAACCGCATCCCAAAATCTTTTTTAGTTCAAGAGATATTCAACTTTAAATTTACCCTAAAATTTTGCTTGTCCCAATAATTATGTCCGGCAATTTATTTGACTAAATTGTCCACAAGTACTAGTTAAACGCTTTTCTTCACTTACGCACATACGCCAGAAAGAAATCTAACAACTAGCCTGTTTGTTTCACTTATTTTTAATGGCCAAGCTGTAAGGGGAATCCCCCGGGTTTCGAGCATCGACGCATCGGCCCGGAACGAAGCGGTTTGATCTTAATCGAGATCGATTCGGTTACCCAGTAGTAATGTGTTGATCCCGCAGATCCCGCACGGTAAATCCCGCAACTTTGATCCCGCGGAATCTCAGAGGGATCCCGCATTTGCGGGATTGCATTCCCTAAATACGATGTACTGAATAAAGAAAGGAAAGCAATTTTGCTCTTTGCGACTTACAAGATAGCCATAGCGATTCACTCCCAGACACGTAAATACACTGAAAAAAATAATTTGTGAATTTAATAACAATATTGATAGTTATTTCTTGCCACAGATTATTGTAGTAAATTTACCATCCGTTCTTTAGCTTTACAACTCGTTTGTAAAATTGCTGTATGGCTCATTTGTGGCATGTATCTGAATATATTATATCTTTATATTCACCAATATTCTTTATTAATTTATGTAAAAATGTGTATCTCATAGTAAATTTACTTATTTATTGTAAATTTATCTTTTAAAATCGCCAACTTCTTGTACTAATACTATAGAGTAACAACAAATTAAAACATTTTATTATAGTGAATTTACAATTACTTTTGTAAATTCACAAAGCGTTAGTAAATATTAATAAATTTAATAAAACACGTATTTATAATTATAGTATTTATTATAAAGTTAATAAAAATCACAAAACAGAACTTAAGTATGTAAGATACCCATTTGCCATCTCTTCTTGCCTAGAA